TTTGTATTTTGGGGATTTGGGTGACGATAAGGGCGAAAATTGATCAATGGGTGGCCAGCGACGGGTGGGTGATCGTTCGACGATGACGATGGTAGACGGAGATGGTCGGTGATGGTTGGTAACGGGGGTCTTTTTAGAATTTTTTATAATTTCATTAAATTTTGGGGTTCTTTCGTAAATAAATTAAGTTTTTTTTCTTTTCTATTAAAAATAATATTTTTATTATTATAAAATTTTAAAAATTAAACAATATAACGGTAGACACCTAGAAGTAACTGAAAAATGTTAGACACCAATTTTTAACGAAAAATTATTTAGACACCAAATCGTTTTTCGAGACAAAATTTAGATATTTGTTTTTGTATTAAGCCTTTCAAATATAAACATAGTATAAAATTTTTAAATGTTACTATAATTTTTGATTGGGTGTTCCATTGAAGCGATTTGTTTTTTGAATTTATATAATTTTTCAATATTTATATAATCATAATTTTAAATTTTTAAATTTTCATTTTTGATCCCTATGAATTTAATTTTCTATACTTACAGTTTAAACATCAACATATTTTAATCATTCCTTAAACTTATTTTTCATTTTAAAAATAATTATTTAGACTCTTAAAATTTTAATTTTATTTAGGTGTAGTACTAAAGAAACAAAAAAAAAATAGAAGGAAGTCGCCATCACATGCTGGCCGTTTTTTCAAAAAGTTATTTTTATTTGTTGACGATTTTTGAGAGCAAAATAACATTTACCAAATTCTGATGATATCTTAAAAAATTAAGTAAATTGAAAAGAATATCTTAATTAAACACCCGAACACAAAGTTATGTATTTGAAACAAATTAAATCTCTCCATCTTCATTTGAAAATGTTGATTCTGTAAAAGTTTACGTTTTGTCACTACACTTTCATTTCCTTCCATTCCAGTCCAGAAAATGTAAAAAGAAGTGCATTTGATCAAGTAATTGGAGTAGCGATGAGGAATTTGGCATTTGAGGAAGTAACGGCGGCTGCGACGCAGTGACAATGAAAGGACACCCGCCAGGCTTATTTCATGGGAGAAGGAAACAAAGGTGGGTGGCTTGTTTTGTCATATAATATAGAAAAATCCTTCACCGCATTTGCATGAAAATTCCCAAAAACCAACTGATTCCACGTGACAAAAGAAACTTGGTAGGGGAAAGAGGATGAACTAACGTCAAAAGGTAAGAAAAGAAATCTCAACTCACATTTAATTTCATCTAATTGTATAAGAGCATAAAAATTTATAAGTTTAATATTTTAATAATTCAACTACCTTGCAAACAAATCAACCGACCTTAGTAATTAAGGAATTTATTATTATTTTTTAAGGTCATGAGTTTGAGTTAAGTATAGAGTTACAAGCATTCATTGTCAAAGAGTTGAAAGTCTTTGAACATACCCTAAACTTATCAACAACAAAAATCATGCAAACACAAGTGTCCAAATCCAAATTTTTTAAGAAATTTTTTTTATTTTATCACTGATACTATTTAATGTATTTTACAACTATTTTAAAAAAAATTAAAAATAGGAATGAATGAAAAAAAAAATGAAAGAGACCCGAAGATAAAAGATTGTTTAATTTTTATATTTATTGTTTGAATATAACATATAAACTATATTTTACGAAAATAATGATTGTAAGAGAAAATTAGAAGATATACAAAGATTAGAGTTTAAGAAACTTTTTAATTCTTATTTGAATAAACCACTTTATTTGTAGGAATAAATATAAAAATATTCTTATTTGAGAGTTAAAATTTTAAGATACTATAAAAAAAACACGAACTAAGCGATCTTAATAGTTAATATATTGTTGTTATTTTTTTAAGTTTTAGGTTCAAACATTGTATATGTATGAGCACGAGCATTTATTTTCAGAATGAATGAGAATATTTAAACATATATTACCTTATACTCACCTCATATTTATTAAAAAATACTATAGGAAAAACTCTAGTTATTTGTGTAAGGAGTTTTACGAGTGGGTTGGTGAGTTGGGCCAAATTATATTTGGGCTTCCTTATATGTTGAGTTCCTAATCTAAATGCATAATACGAGTCCGCCAGTTTTGTACACAAAAGGAGTCTGGCCATCTTCTCTAAAATCTCTAATCTTTTATATGTTGACTGCCTAACAAATAATTGTATGTCCAAGCCAAAGATGTGAGCCAAAAAATATTGTATACCCATAATTTAAAAAAAATGAGAATTAAAGTTCTCAACCTCAACCTTAAATTTCTGAATCCGTAGTTGATTGTGGTTCTGGTCCAGGCTTTAGGGGATTATACTAGGATGATAAATGATTTCTCAGTGTTACCATCTGATGCAAGAGAAGGACGGGTGGGTTCCTATTGGTACCATGAGGATACACAAGTCTTTTTTGATGACGTTGATCATTGCAGGATGATCAAGGTAACGTGCAGGCTTTCATGCTGTGTATGTGAGGCGGGACGATATGCAGACACAGAAATTTAGAGAAAAATATAACGGGAAAGTTTAGGATTAGATTTTCTTTTGATTATTTAGAATTTCGGAACTAATCTCAACCGTGCTTTAAAATGTATATCCTTTGTGTTGTAATTATTCTAAAACTCGAGTTGATTTCATGGTCGGGTATGAGCTTTGCATTTCAAAGGACCTAGGCTTGATTATCGTGAAGTGTAATTTGAACTTAATTTTTGTCCAATAAATCGATGTTGTTTTGATTTATTTTGAGCATGACGTGATAACCACGTTGCCATTAATAATTGCATTATCTTGTCGTTAACAATTTAATAATATAATTAAAATATAATTCAAAATTTAATGCTATAATCAACAAAACTAAAAATTTAATAATACAAATGATATATACATAAATATCTAATGATATCTCGTATAATTTACCCTATATTATATGTACCATATATTATTTCCTCTTCAAATTAAAGATGTATTAATCAATATCACCTTCTGTTGAATATCAACAACTTCGATATTATACGCAGTGGTAGAATTTGATGATAGAGTTTGGGATAATTTAAAATTTTAAAAAAATTAGAGGTTTAAATTGAAATTTTTAATTTTTTTGAAGAGTTTAGTTTATTTTTTCTCGAAAAGAATTAGGTGCTAATTAAAATTTTTAGAAGCTTAATGAAGATTTTTTTTAAAATATGAGAGGAATTTAATTAAAAACATTCAAAAAAAATTTAAAATTTAATGTAAAATTTTAAAAGTTTTCAAATTAATTTTTTTTTTAAAATTTTAAGATTCTACATTATAATTTTATAGGCCCCTCTACTTTAGCTTGTGTTTCACCCCTGATTGTACGGGAGTAATGATAAGGTTTGGACTTTGGATAGTGAAAATACAATTGCACAACACTTGCATGGTCACGGGTAGTAATGCCCAGGAGCGTAGGGCAGGCCGTTCTCAATTTTAATTTTAAATTTTTTATATTTATAAAACTTTTTAATCATTAAAAAGTTAATATTTATTTTTCCTTTAACCTAATATAAGGACATTATATAATTTATTTTCACAATTTGAAAAGTAAACCTTATAATTTATATTTTTTTGTATTTACTATAATAATAATTTTGACCATTTATTTAGTAAAGGGTATCATGGATTCTGGGTGCATGTTTTTATTTAGTTTTCTTATTGGTTTTTTTATTTTACCTGAATATATGGTTGTTATTTTTCTGATGTATGGTTCATCTGTTCATTTGTTTAAGATGGTTCGTTGATTATTGTATAAAGATATCGAATGAGATTGTTGTTAAGGGGAGATCGCTTTTTTCGTTGATTATTTTGATTCTTCTTCAAGTTTCTCTTGGTTTTGTTTATAAGCTATCTCTACGTGATCATTGTTATATGTTATTTCGATAGTCACGATTTTATTTATTCAGTCTGTATTTGACAAGATGTTTATTGATACGACTTATAAATAAAATATCATGTTTTTCTTCAAAAAAAAAAGAGTTGATTTTATATCAGTCTAATAAAATTTTTGATCCTCAAACTTTTCAGGAAAAAAAACATTTTAATCCTTAAACATTTTTCATCTCTTTTGATTATCAATTTTTTGTTCCAGGAATCAACGGACAGAAAAATAATAAATCTGTTAAGGTGACGTCAACAATCTTTTCTTCTTCTAATTTTAATAATATTTTTATATCTTTAATGATTTTTTTATAAATTTGATTTTTTTTTATTTTTTAGAATCATTTAATATTTTATTACATATATTATTTTTGGCATAAGAAGACAATATCTAACGTCAGCACCGATAATAAAATAAAATATATAATGTCAATTTAATAGGCTTGTTATTTTTCTATTAGTTAGATTAATTTAATAAAAAAATAAAAGTTAGTGCACCAATAAAATTGAAAAAAAAGAAATTGAAAAACTAAAATAAATATTTAAAAATTTCCAGGATAAAGAATGTTATTAAAGTATTATAATATATTAGTAAACCTACTTTCTTTGCCCATATTTTTGCAGCTCTAAATTTGGATATTGGAATAGTGTTTCCATTTATTTTAGGTAAAAATATTAATGCATATACAAGATGACATTATGGAGTATGGTTGGCTAGTTGCTGACAGCAGCCATTGTGTCTATATTCAATGAAATTCAAATTGATTTTAAAAAATAAGGAAGAAAATATCCCTCGCCCCAGAAAGGAAGAAGCAACCAACCAAGTCCTGCCAAGCCCTATGGTGCTTTTGACAAGTCTTCCGTGACTTGTATGCGTCACAGTAATACAAGAAGAGGAAAATATATTATTGTTTGTTTTTCAATCGCTTTCTTAATCTTTTGTTAATTTTCAGATTGCGAAATGGATCAATATAATGTTAAAATGAAGCCGCGTGCAATTGTTGCAAAGTTGACCCCCAGATCAGAAAACAACTGAGGAAGATGAAGGGAAATGAAGAAAATCCAATCAAATTTCGTAACAATTCAGTACTTGAAAATTCAGTACTTGAAAAGAGTTCATACTTTCTAGATTTCTTCAAATCTCTCTCTCTTTGATTCTCTGGTTTCCCTCCACGACAATGGAGTTTACAAGCAAAAATCTGTTAGTTCCATGTCTATTCTTCTTCTTCTTCTTCATAGCATACCTTGATGTCCCTGTTGTCTCCGACACCCGTGTAACCCCTTACAGCCCCATCGAAAACATCACTATCGACTGTGGTTCTTCAATCGACGATAATTCTCTCGACGGCCGTCCTTGGGTGGGAGATGTCGGAAAATTCACCCCTTTAGAGCAACAAAACAATAACAACCAATCATCCACGGCTTTAACAGCACCTATACAAAACTCAGTTGAGAGTGTTCCCTACTCCACTGCCCGTCTTTCTCACTCCGAATTCACCTATTCGATTCCCTTAACCGCCGGTCAAAAGTTCATTCGCCTGCACTTCTACCCGGTCACATATCCAGGCTTTGACGACCCTTCTAATAAATCTTTCTTCTCTGTCAAAGCAGGTCCTTATACCCTCCTCAACAATTTCAGTGCTTTACTCCATGTGCAAGCGCAAGGACGAGCTACTGTGGTCAAAGAATTTTGTTTAAACGTGGATGATAGCCAAAGGCTAAACTTAACCTTCACCCCAAGTCCCGATATCGCTGATTCCTACGCTTTCATCAATGGAATTGAAGTTGTTTCCATGCCGACAAATCTATATTATACACCGAGCAGCGAAGCAGGGGTGCCTTTTATAGGCCAGGCTGATGGAACCTTGTTCCCCGTAGGAAACAACACTGCCCTCGAGAGTGTGTATCGAGTCAACGTCGGCGGGAAGGAAATCACGCCGGGATTAGACACCGGGATGTTCCGGCACTGGTCGACCGACGACGATTACTTGACAATAGCGAAGCCTAGTGCTCTTCCTGTTAATACCGGTATTAGTCTCACCTTCAGCGACATACCATCCTACTCGGCTCCAAGGGATGTTTATGTCACTGCCAGAACCATGGGAACGAACAAGACAGAGAATGAGAACTACAATCTGACATGGGATTTCCTTGTTGATTCTGGGTTCAGTTACTATGTCAGATTACATTTTTGTGAGTTTCAGAAAGAGATAACTCAACAAGGTAACAGAGTCTTCGAGATCTTCTTGGCTAATTTAACCGCAGAAACTCAAGCAGATGTTATAGCCTGGAGTTCTGGAAATGGGTTCCCAGTGTATAAGGACTATGTTGTGGCAATGGGAAGAAGGGGAAATCTAAAGCAACAAAGTCTCTCTGTTGCTTTGCATCCTGCTCCGGCATGGAGGACGAATTACTCTGATGCAATCTTGAATGGACTAGAAATCTTCAAATTGAGCAATAATATGGATCTTTCCGGACCGAATCCGGATTCGATCCTGATAAATCCTCCGGTAAATTCACCACCGGGATCAACCAAGTCCAAGAGCAGCAGCAAAACAACAATTGGTATCGTGGCAGGTGTGACAGGTGGCCTAATTGTTATGTGTCTCATTTGTTTCTTGGTTTTCCGGCAAAAGAGAAGAGTCAAAGATTCAGGCTCCAACGACGGAGCTTCATGGTGGAGCCAATTTTCTTACACAACCAAATCAACCAAGTCTACCAAGTCGACCAAATCCCGTGGCTCATCCCTACCATCCGACCTTTGCCGCTACTTTTCACTTGCTGAGATCAAAGGAGGAACCAACAACTTCGACAGTGTTTTCATTATCGGTGTCGGTGGTTTTGGCAATGTATACAAAGGGTTTATCGATGGCGGAGCAACCCCGGTTGCGATCAAACGGTTGAATCCAGAGTCTCAACAAGGGGCTCACGAGTTCAAGACCGAGATCGAGATGCTCTCGCAGCTACGCCACTTACATTTAGTGTCGTTAATCGGATACTGCAACGATGATGGTGAGATGATCCTCGTTTACGATTACATGGCTCGTGGTACACTTCGTGATCATCTCTACAACACCGAAAACCCTGCTCTCCCATGGAAACAACGCTTAGAGATTTGTATCGGTGCAGCTCGTGGGTTGAATTATCTTCACTCAGGTGCCAAGCACATAGTCATTCATCGAGACGTCAAGACCACAAACATTTTGTTGGATGAGAGGTGGGTGTCTAAAGTTTCAGATTTCGGGTTGTCAAGAATCGGCCCTACCAACATGTCCCAGGCACATGTTAGCACAGTGGTGAAAGGCAGCTTCGGGTATTTGGACCCAGAGTACTATCGTCGTCAACAGTTGACAGCGAAATCCGATGTATATTCATTCGGTGTGGTCCTATGTGAAATATTATGTGCTAGGCCACCGATTAGTCGATCAGTCGACAAGTCACAGATCAGCTTAGCAGCATGGGCTCAACACTGCCACCGAAGTGGAACTCTTCACAATATCATTGATCCATTATTGAGGGGTCAGATTGCACCCGAGTGTTTGAAAAAATTCACCGAAGTGACGATGAGCTGTTTGCACGACGAAGGGTCCGAAAGGCCCTCGATGGGCGACGTGGTGTGGGGACTAGAGTTTGCGCTACAGTTGCAAGAAAGTGGCGAGGCGAAGCTTAAATCTGCTACCGATGGGGCTTCCATAGAAGCAGAGTTTGATGAGGAGACCCCCTTGAAAGGATTGGAAGACGATAGTGGCGACGTTTTCAGTAGCCTCGGCGATCATGTCCTCAACCCCAATAGCACCGGCAGTTTCAGTTTAACGACAAGTGACAGTTTTGCCAGCAAAGATTCTGATAGACCCTTGTCTAAGGCAGTTTTTTCCGAGATTAGAAATCCTCAAGGACGATGATCAAAACTGGTAGCTAGCAGTCACGTGGTCCCAAGTCTCAAATGCTCTGTTCATTAACATCTCTAGTGATCGTTTGTAAAGCACTAGAATTTCTGTTCCGGTGTGTAAGATCAAACCATGTCAATTTCAACTGTCAAAAAAAAGGGGGGGATACTTGAAGCCGGTAGTGGACGATTACCAATAAACGGTCTAATTTCAAACAGAGAATCAAATCGCGGCCGCATTCTCTGTTATGTCGTGTTTACTACTATTGTGGCCATAGCAGACGCTATTACGGCTATAGCGGGATTATCGGAAGGCAGCGCTATCGTTATATCGCAGGCGCTATCGCGGTCGCTTATTACTGTTTAAAACCCTGATTTCAACTCCTAAAGCTCCCCGGTATTTTTATTTGAAATCAATAAAATATTTTTATTGTAGCATCATTATATATTTGATTTCAAGTTAGGTCTGATGTATCTCATATGGTTTACTTAATGGCTGACCAGGTTTGTTCATTTAATAACAATGATAATAATTGGTGATGGTGGGAGCTTTGAAAGTGCTATATTTAATCTAAACTACGACCATTCTACAAACAAGAAATCAATTAATCAAATAATTATCTCCAGAATTTTCCTTTTAATTTTGCTTTCTAATTCTTAAAATTGATCATTTATCGGTGTTTGCTATAAAAATACTGTTAGGATAACCAGTTTCTTTTTTTTGAGTATGTTGAGTTAATCGATTGACAGAATTGGCCAAGAGGGGGTGAATTGGCAATTAAAAATTTGGTGGAAGCTTTTGCAGAAAATTGAAAGTAATTGCACAGCGATTTAGAGTGATTCGACTTTCTCAATCAAAGTCTACGTCCACTACCTTAGCTATCCACACTAAGGATTTTCCAACAAATTCACTAATTTATTCTTTCTTTTGAGGCCAAAGAGATAACCTTACAACACCCTCAAGAATATACCCCAATTCTTGAGAACACTCTTTCCCAAAGAGAAGATTACAAATTTACAAACTTACAAGGAAAAACTCACAAGGTAAGATGTTTGCACAATTCTAGAACAAAAAAAGAACACTCACAAATAATTACAAATGAGCACAAATGGTGTTCTTTGAAAGCAAAATGAATATTGAAAGGAAAATTGGCTTGATTTGCACAAACTTGGTGTTTGATGCTTTCTCTCTTGTTTCTCTATAATTTCATATTGATCAAGGGCTTCAGAACTTTTAAATACACCTTGAATCACTTCTGAACGTTGGGGATGATTAGTGAAGATCATATAGTCGTTTTAGTGTGAAAACAATTAATAAAACAGCTTGGAGCGTGGGGGGAATCGGTACCCCCTATGGGGAATCAGTTCCCTAAGTGTAAAATACAAATATTTCGACCGTTATACAAGGGGGGGTATCGGTACCCCCGGGGGGGGAATCAGTTCCCTCCGAGCATACTGGAATTCTCGGAGCCAAACCATTCAGGGGGGAATCGGTACCCCCTTAGGGGGGAATCGGTTCCCTCTGAGCAATCTGGAATTTTTGGCTTTGAAATGGTTCGAAATACTTTGTAAAATTATTTTGAAATTGTTTTAAGATTAAAACTTAATTTTACACTTTGAGTAAGGATTAAAAATGATCTTTGAAAGATTTGGAGTAATATTTTGATATTCGAATAATTCTATCGAGTATACTTAGAAAATCATTTGAAAAATCTTAAAATTCATTTAACTTAATTTGTTATATCGAAATATCAAAATGTTTTCAACAATCTCCCCCTTTTTGATATAACAAAACATTTTAGTAATTTTAAGATTTTGAAATCAAGTTTTGAAATTACTCCCCCTTACTTTAACACTTCTCCCATTTAGCATTTAGAAAACACATTTAACACCATTTAACCATTTAACACTTCTCCCCCTTTTTGTTAAATCAAAAAGACATTTTAAAGAATTTAAACAAGTTTTTGAAGTCATTTAGCCAATTGATTATATATAACATAAGCTGCTAAGACCACAAGCAAGAGAAACGTTAGCCATTAGTTTCATAATCAATATTCATAATTAATGTGAAATGGCAAAATTGGCCATATATCTAATCATGAAGTAAATGATGCAATAATGAATGAATTTAATCACACCAAATAGATAATTTCTAACCATTCATAAATCCAAACAAATTCAAAGTCAATCAATCCACAAATTCAAACATTCCAAAATATTCAAAATGTTAAAACAATAAGTTTGAAGTTCAAAGCAAAACATTGAATCACATATCCGGATCAGGAGGAGGAAAACGAGCTCGCATAGCGGCCATTTCGTTAGTGAGGTCATTAATACGTGCGTTGGTTGCTTCATTATTTGCACGCATTTCCCGAAGAATTTCTAATTGTTGAGCTCCCATTGTGGATAAATGGGACTCTATAGAAGTAAAGCGCGAATCCATAGTAGCGTATCGAAAATCTAATGTCTCCATAAAGGATTGGAAATATGGAGGCATTGGATGCGTTTGTTGTGCTTGCTCTTCGGGCTGCTCCTCAGGCTGCTCAGGCTCATCTTCGGCTTCATCGATGTCTCGCATTAATTGCTCAAGCTCGAGATCTTCGTCAGCTTCGGGTGGAGCTTGTGAAGAACTAGCTCCCAGAGTATTTGCAGAAGATCGAACCCATTCACCGGTTTCCTTATCCTTAATCCATCCCGCTCTCGTTAAGGAAAGAAGGTTAATTTGTTTCTTAAGGGGAAAAATGACATCTAGACCGACTCTAAGCCCAGCTTTGGAAAACAGATTACTCAAAATGCAACCGTAAACAAGAGATGAACAGAGTTTCTTGTTAGGAACAAGATTTACGGTTTCAACAATTTCAGCAAAAATAATCTAAAGTAGGTTAATTTTAATATAGTTTTCGAAACAATGTAACCACTAAAGATCTAAGGCTCTAAGAGTAGAATAACGACCTCCGGATGGTCGAAACCACCAAGAAATCATTAGATGAAGAAAACGTTCATGAAGGTCTAGGACACTTGCACTATCCCTTCTTTTATAACGAGATCCTAAAACCTATTTTTCATTTGAAATACCATCATTATCTAATCCAAATGTATTGGCTATGTAAGCCGAGTCAATATATAAGAACTGTCCTAGAAGGTAGGAACGAATTCCTATGGTTTCAGTTTCAGTTTGGTTTTTAACACAAACGACATTAGAATAGAAAATACGAACAAATTTATGGTAAACGATGGGTTCAAGGTCAAAGAGTTTATCAAATTTCCACTCTTGTAAAAGAGGAAGATATTTAAAATTGATAGCTAACATAGCTTGACGAGAAGGAATACGTTCTTCCCGGATTTTGTAAGAGTCAAAATATTGATAATACCAAAAACGATGATTTCTAGAACCAAGATGATTGAAACACGGATTTTGGATAGTCAAGTTAGGATCAATGGGATTAGGATTAGAAATTGGAATAGGAGGAGGATTTGGAGGTGGATTTGGTTGACGGTGTGAACGACTAGATGAAGACTTAGCACGTTTAGGATTGGACATGGTTTAGGAAATCGAAATAGAATTGATAACCTGCAATTTAAAAAAAAATATGTATGCAATTCAATCAATCCCAAAACTCAATTGAGTCCTCATTATTTCAAGGTTCTCTAAATCAATCCTAATGGGCAAAGTTTTTGAAAAACTTTGAAAATGGTTTTGAGAAACATATATGTATAGTTTTCATAATAACAACATAATTTAATCAAAACACAATAATTTGAAAATTAATTTTTTTTATTTCGAAAATTTTGAAAAAATCTTGTGTTTTTAATGAAATTAGTTGTAATATCTAGTTTCTAATCACTAAATAATAAATGTCCAATCAATAATTCAACCTAGAAATAATTAAAACTAGTTCTATGTTCATAAATTGATAAATTTTTTTTTGAAAAAATACCTTGAATGATTTCGGATTTGAGTGAGATTAGATGAAGTTTGCACGTTTTTTATGATTCCAACAGGTTTAGAGGATGATATTTGAAGTGAATTCCGATTAAAAACGTTGATTTGAGGCAAGAATGGAGATTTGAGAGAGTAGAGGGAAGAAACGGCGTGAAGGAATAAGAGAGGGTTTGAGCAAATATTTGGTTCTGCCCGTGCTAAAACCAGAACCCCAGGGGGGTATTGATTCCCCTGTGGGGGGGGGGGGAAATCGGTTCCCCTTCAAAGGGGGAATCGGTTCCCTCAAGGGGGGATCGATTCTCTCTGTACCAAAATGCTAAAATCCGATTTTAAACACCCAAAATGCTAAATTAATTTCCTCTAGTGGTATTGGCAACTCATATATTGAAAATTAATCATGTTCAAACAATTCAATTAATCTTTAAACGATATTTGAACATAAAATTAATTTTTCATCACGAATCATAAACTCCCCCTAACTAATAGCAATGAATGCAATCAAAAATTGCTATTATAAGCATTTTTCATTTATTATTAAAAGTGCTAAAATTATTTTAAACACTCAGTGAAGATAGATTGGTCAAACCTAATTCTCTCCTAAGTGTCCAAAATCGTTCCTTGTCTAAAGGTTTTGTAAAGATATCCGCTAATTGGTGCAAAGTATCAACAAATTCTAGAACTACATCTTCCTTAGTGACATGGTCTCTAATGAAGTGATGTCTTATTTCAATGTGCTTAGTTCTAGAGTGTTGGATGGGATTTTTAGTGAGACAAATAGCACTAGTATTGTCACACTTGATAGGAATGGTACCTACTTCAATTCCATAATCAAAATGTTGTTTCATCCATAAAACTTGTGCACAACAACTACCAGCTAAAATGTATTCGGCTTCAGTGGTAGATAATGCAACACAATTTTGTTTCTTTGAAAACCAAGAAATTAGCATATTTCCAAGGAATTGGCAAGTACCGGAGGTGCTTTTCCTATCCAATTTGCATCCTCCATAATCCGCATCAGAAAAAGCATGAGCTAAAGCTAGAGTCTTTAGGATACCAAATTCCTAGACTAGGAGTGTCTTTAAGGTATCTAAAGATTCTCTTAACAGCTAGTAAATGTGATTCCTTAGGACATGATTGAAATCTAGCACATAAGCAAACACTAAACATAATATCCGGTCTACTTGCAGTTAGATAAAGTAGAGATCCAATCATTGACCTATATAATTTGACATCTACACATTTACCTCCTTCATCTAAGTCAAGCTTTGTTGAAGAGCTCATTGGAGTGTCATGAGGTTTCCCATTTTCCAGTCCAAACTTCTGAGCATATCTTTGACGTACTTAGCTTGATTGATGAAGATGCCATCTTTTCTTTGCTTGATTTGGAGTCCCAAGAAAAATGAGAGCTCCCCCATCATGCTCATCTCAAACTCACTTTGCATTAGCTTAGAAAATTCTTGGCA